GATAGGATCATTGTTCAGAGTAAGCCAGTTGTATTAAGTGATACTTAAGCAGAATAATTAATGAGTCTCTGTTGGTGTTTTTTCTTCTTTATCTTTTGCTCTCCTTTGCTCTCCTTTGCTCTCCTTTGCTCTCCTTTGCTCTCCTTTGCTCTCCTTTGCATTTTTTTCCTTCCCCTAACCAGTTTCTGAGAAACGTGCAGTGCAGGAATGCTGCCTCATGGGCAGTGCAGTGGTGTATTGTCAGACTTTCAAAGGTGATCTAGTGTTGACTGGGTGGCTCTTGTGAGTTATGGCAAAGTCCTTTACTGCTGGATCCACAGGGGATCCTGGAGTATTGGTGGCTTTATTGAGTACCTTTGTTGTGTCTGCTAGTGTATTATTAAAATCCAATTACTTCATATGTTGCAGTCACCTTTCTAGCTTTTCTGCAGAGGTACAGGAAATACCATTTGATGTCCTCATGTCCTTTTCAGGTGAAGGTTGTGAATGAGGAGCAATATCGAAAAGCATTTGAGGAAATAGTGCGCTCCCTGGATAAGATGGAGAATGCGAACATCCCCTCAGTGACCCTTTCCCGGAGAGAGGTGGGATGTGTGAATGGGACGCAAATCCCTGGAGACGTGAAGCAAGCTTGGACCCTAGAAATGCACTCTGGCTGTGGAAGTACATCAGATAGCTGCCGGGGTTGGGTTCCAAAGTGCAGTACAGTGACTTTCCACAGGGCTCTATTTACAATCCTTGGCTTTGTTTCTTTTTAGACACAGGCAAATTTCATTCAAGGTGCCAGACTAAAGTTTACAAACTTGTTTTTCTCTGAAGCAGGGAGTGAGATACTGAAAGAGGAGTCTGCTTCCTACTTTTACTTGCTTTTAGAAACATAAAATGTAAAATAGTGAGGGATTTGGAGAAGGTCACAAAACTGGCATTTACATTTTGTGTTGGGAACTAGAAAAGAGAAGCAGCTGGGACCCTTTGAGTGTAGAGCTCTCTTTCCCAAGTTATGTGAGGGGAGTATTTGTTCTGCAGGCCTCTCTGGTGTAAATAGATTGAGTCTGCAGAGTAACCAAATGTAATCCCATTTAATCCTGGAAGAACTGGGGAGGAGGAGAATGGGAGGAGGAGAGTTACTCTGGATATTTTGCCGCTTACTGATTAAACTCTGGGATATGAGAAATTGCTGGTGGCGCTTGGCCAAGTGTGACTGGCTGCCGTGGTTGACTTTGACATTTGTTTCTAGTTTCATTTTGCAGATGTTAAATATATGCAGCTGCAGGTCCAGAAGTTCACAATTCGCAATGGACAAGTGCCTTGCCAGTTTGAATTCATCAGCAAGCCAGACGAAGAGACTTACTGCAAGCAGTGGCTGATTGCTAATCCCAGTAAGGGCTTTCTGCTCTCAGGTGAGGTTCTCATTGTTCACTGTGTTATTGGGTTAATAATGTCACCTTAGTGAGCTTAGGTTCTCCTGCTATTTTGAGAATGTTTTTCTTGTTTGCTGCTCTTTTTTTTTTAATTTTATTTTATTGAGCACATTTGTTTTATTTCTTACCATCTTCCTGCAGATTCTGAGGTCACAATTGAGTTGGAATTGTTTGTTAATAAATCAACAGCTACCCACTTAAACTCTGGAGAAGATAAACTTGAAGATATCTTGGTCTTGCATCTTGACAGGGGGAAGGATTATTTTATATCTGTAACTGGAAACTACTTGCCTAGTTGCTTTGGGTCTCCCATTCATACACTGTGTTACATGAGGGAACCTATCCAGGACATGTCAGCAGAGTCTATTCGGGAACTCGTGAGTTAAAGATAGAACTTATCTTCTGAATCCACAAGAACCCTTAAAACCTGATGATTAAATCCTGCTTATTACTTAAAGAGCCTCCTTCCTCCTCCCTGCTCTGTAATCTGGGAATGCTGATACAGCTTGTGTTCTCCAGTGCGCCTTCTTCAGACCTTGCTTTAATGCTTCACACGGATGAATCAACCCATATCATATAGGGCACTGAAAGTAAGATATTGTTTGCTCTGCCTGCACATCCAAAAAAAAAAAAAAAAATCAAGGTGTGCGACTTCTAAACATAACTGTTGGCCATCAAGCCCATGGCCTTACCCCTCCGAGTGGAGATGTGTGTTCGTGAGGCATGATGTAACATTTAGCTTGATCTGAATGTATGTGGTGCATCCTTATGAGAACAGCTTGTTCTTTCTGCTTGGGCCTATGATAGGAGCATGCCTGTCATTCCGGTCTTGTATGAAGACTGGTGAGTGAAGCTGCTGTTTCCTAACCAGTCTTAACTCTTGGCTGTCAGTTTTGTGAAGCAGAATTGAATAAGAAGTTGGCCAGCTCCTTTTTCCTATCCCCTGCCTCTCTTTAGACCTTGATGCCCCTACAAATGTTTGACGTCGCCCAAGCTGAAAAGCCTCTGGACATTCCAAAAGAACTGTGGATGATGGTGGATCACTTATACCGAAACGCTTCCCACCAGGTTGGTAGTGGTTGTACCTCAATCACAGTGTAATTTTTTTAGTATTTAGTCTGGTTTGGAAGAGGATGGTGGGAAGGGTAATAATCTCTGCTAACTGTGGATGTTTGGCCAATGGTAAAGGCAGGTGGAGGGTGCGCGGGTGGCCCTGGCTTCACTGTGATTTAGAGCAGCATCAGCAGCTGTTCTTTGGTTTTGTTCTCTACTGTAGAGCCCGAACTCGGAATTGCTTAAGGTGAAATTACTTATCTGTAACTCCTAATCTGTAGAGATTTTTCAGGACAGTGTATATGTTATTTGGGTAAAAGCAGCACTGTCATTCTATCTTGCATTTTTCTTGAGATTGCTTCATTATTTTCTTCTTTGCAGGAGGACCTGTTTCAGCAGCCAGGCCTCAGATCTGAATTTGAGCAAATCCGAGACTGTTTGGACAAGGGCATGCATGATACCCTCTGTATCCTTTGCAGATTGATGTCCAGTGAGGCTCACTGTGCCCTACCGAATATCTAAGCTGAAAAAGGCTTTTTGCAGTCATCTTTGCACCATTATGTATTTTTTTGTTTCGTTTCTAAATCACCATCTCTCCTCTCTTGGTAACTGAGCTGTGTGGTCATTTAATACTAGCTGCAAGGAGTACAGTGCTTTGGATGTACCTTTGTGCATCCACGAATGATTGCTGATGAGTGACAAGTGCCCAACTGCAAACAAAACCAGTATTTACTATGTGGAGTTGAGCACTTTAGCTTAACAATTGAACTGGTAACTTGAACAACTTAAAGGAGGCAATCTTGCAGGCCTGAGCAAAGTGAGATCCTACCAAAACGGAGGATGCCGTGCTTGCCTCTTCCTTAACCGTCTGTGTCAGTTGGCAACAACCATTCCGTAGCAGAAGCCCTGCTGCTCTTCCTCGAGAGCCTGCCAGAGCCCATCATATGCTACAAGTTCTACAGCAGCTGCCTGGAGTGCTCCAACAGCTACTCGCTGAGCAGCCAGGTAACAGAGACTCCCCGGGCAGGGTCCTTTCTGTAATCCCCAAACCAAAACACAGGGTTTGGTCTCAGGAACTTAATCATTTGATACTAGAAAGAACCTATAACTGGTGCTTCTAGGTCGTTAAGAGACATTGGTATTTTCAGACCGGTTGATAGCAGTTAAAGCTGCTAACCATTGCTGCTTCTTCAAAGCATATTCTTTTTTTTTTTTTCTCTAAGATTATCTCCAAATTGCCCAAGTGCCATAAAAATGTGTTTGAGTATCTGATGGCATTTCTTCGGGAACTACTGAAAAACTCACGCAAAAACCATTTGGACGTGAATATTCTTGGTAAGGCAAGCTAAAACTCTCGTGGTCATTGGGCTCTAAAGTTTGAATAAACATGTTTCTCCGGTGTGATTGCAGTCGGGGCCTTTACTGCTTTGAAGAACTTGGTGAGCAAGCAATCCCTTAAAAAGAATAATAAAGGGATAGAAAGATGCTCTTGCAAAATTGTCCTTAAAGTGGCCTGACCCCCCAAAAAATATATAATTAAAAAATAAAAAAATATAAAATATACATATATTTACATATGTGTGTATATATGTACATATAAATAGAGATATATTTTTATGTATACTGCCACAAAAAAGGCTCCTGTGGCCAGGCCAGGCCTCCCCTTTGTGGGGTGCGGGGCTGGGGGGGCTGCCCCCTGTACCCCGCTCCTGACGGGCTCCCGTTGTTTGTGTTTTCCCCACAGCTAGCGTGTTTGGCGGCCTGTTGCTGCGGCCTCCTCCCGGCCACCCCAAGCCTGATGTCGCCGCGAAGAGGAGAGCTCAGCAGTTTATCCAGCAGTTCCTCCTGGACGAGAACGGCTCGCCCTGACCTTCAGCCCCCGCCCGCTCTGCTCTTTAGCTGTTGCGTTGCTGTAAAAATACTTTTGTACAGGATCTTGGCGCTTTTTTGGGGGGATTTCGCAGTGTTTTATACGAGGGGTCGCTATTAAAGGCAGCTTGGACCGCTGCTGTCGCCTGTCGCTCTCCCTCTCCACAAGATTGGGCGGGGGGGGGGGAGCGGGTGGGCGGGGGCGCAGCCCTCCCCTCGCGAGAGGCCCCGCCCCCTGGCAGTCACGGCGCATGCGCGGCGCCGCCTTCCCGCCCGGGGCGCGGCCGTCCCGCCGGGCCGCGCGCGGCCGGAAGCGGAAGTGAGTGTGCTGGTAATCATGGTGCCGCTGGGGCGGGGAAGGAGGTGCCGCCGCTGCCGGGAGCTCGGTGAGCGCGGCGGGGCCGGGGCCGGGGCTGGGGTCGGGGTTCGGGCCGCGCAGGGG